TATCATTTATTTGTATATCAAATATAAGAAAGATAAATTACCTTTGATACAATATTATAGTCTTCCAACACCTGATAAAACCCATTTGCAATGTTTACATCTTCATGTTTTCTGCTCAACAAGCCAAAATCAATAATAATTTCTTTAAGAGCCCAGTTCTCATCAATGTAATAGGCTGTGACAGAAATAAATAACTTATTGTTAGGGGATGTCCATAGATCTGAAGTAAAGGATAATTTGGAACTAATAGTGGAAAGGTATGTCTAAATTATCTAACAAATAAATATGTTATAATTTTTATCATAAACTTATAATTACATAACAATGTATAACTTTATTAGTTATGTACTAGTAACTAGTATTCCGTAAAATCAAATCAAATTCAAAGTTTGATTTGATTTTGGAAATATTATTAGTACTATTGGTAACTACAGAAAACCTATAGAATACTATTGAATATTTCATCTAGCAATTTTTGTAAAATTACTTTTAGTTTCTGTTTTCCTAAGCTATAAAGTGTCATGACTGTTTTTTTAATTGTATCAGCCTTAGCCAGTTGTATAGTAGGGTTTAAGTATTGTAAAATCTCAATTAATTCAGGGTCTTTCACTATAGAAAGTGGATGTTAGCAGTTAATGATCTATGTAACAATCATTTTGCAAAGCTTCATATTATCAACTTCAGTTGATACTATTGTGGAGATATTTGTAGAGGTCTATATAAAATTTTTAATTAGAGTACAGTCGACTCTCCTTATAACGAACTGGTGATTCTTATAAAAAAAATTTTTAAAAGTTTTTATATACCAAACTCTATAATAAAATTTTTTTAAAAAAAAGCAAAAAGAGTTAAATTAACAAACTTTTCAGAAAACTCATTTTATATAAATCAATTTAGAATAAGATTGGAATCATTTTTGCTAAAGACACAAACTCAGTTATATTAATAAAATTTTGCAGTATAGCTCTTTGAAATTTGTATTTTCTTATGATTTATTATAAAAAATTTTTTTTTGTCAATTTACCCTTTTTTGTAGCACATAGCACAAATAGATAGATTCATTATAAAAAGGTTTGTCATATCCAGATTTGACTGTAATTTAAAATTTGAATAAAAAATAAAAGATTACTTTTTTAAATACTTCTTCGACACTGCCACATTTTTTGTGTACTCTTTTTTTTTTATGATATTCTTCCGTAAAAACATACTGTATCCAATGAGCAGATTCTAGATGTCACCATAAAGACCAGGTCATACCACCTTTTTCACAAGAATACTCATTATGGGTGCAATTTTGTACGTCATATTTAGCCATTTTTCATCCCTTTGTCTACACAGCTTTTTTAAAATATTTCTATATTTCACTCACTTTACTCCCACAACTTTGTTTTGGTACTGCTACTGTCATTATTATCATAACTATTATCGTGGTCATGGTTGTTGTCATGGCTATTGTTGTGGTAGTAGTCATTGTCGTGTTCATTGTCGTGGTCGTGGTCTGATATGGATGAGAAACTCATTGAACCAAAAAGTAATTTTGCCTATAAACTATGTATATCGATATAGAACAGTTGTAATTAGTCATATTATCTCTATTGCAGTATGATTAATGTAGATATGTATTCATTTGACAAACCAATTCAATAGTTTTTATTTTACTTTATTTGTATAGCAGTTTCTTCTTTATTTATTACTAACCTTCTTTTATCAACTTTGACCAATCTCAACTTTACATAGCAATACTATGCCAGGTACATATTTTCTTATTTTTGACTCCAACCTATTGCTAATCACCTTTTTATGTGCATATTAAAAATCGAGATTTTCATTACATTATACTTAGCTAACCAATTAAATTACTTTACAAACTCAAGTAAACTGTGTTATAAACTTAAATATAAATCAAAAATAAATTATATACTTACAAACTCAAATAAGCTAAGTGTTATAAGTTTTATATAAATTAAGAATAAATTACCTTACAAACTCAAATAAGCTAAGTATTATAAGCTTAAATATAAATCAATAATAAATTCATGAACTATTGTATATAAGTGATTGAGAGCAAAAAGGTGCAAGTAAATATTTGACCCCACAAAATATTGTACGATTTGATCAATCAAATTTCAAGATCAGCCTGATCCTGAAATTTGGTTAATCAAATCGTACA